AGAATGCATAACTTATCACCCGGATAACTATAATATCCCCGTCACCGTACCCTCAGATTTGCTCACATCTACGCACTGTTCACGTTTCGAGCACGTGACAACTGGCTGATAGCACGGCTCGTCGGTGTGCACGTCGGTGCAAAGGCGCCAAAAGGTCTTGTGACGCAAGGAATTCGCGTCACAAGAGACAATTGTGTGGATCGTATGCCGCGCTTATGCCGTCCTTCGTTCTTTCAACAATCTGGCGACAATCGATCGATTGCCGTGTCACGTCCAACATTTAAATCGTTCGTTAAAGCTCTGCAGAAAAAGAAATTTCCGAGAAACGAATGGATATCTCGATTTTAAATTAAATATGTCGGAATTTTTCATTTCTCGTTCCCCTCTCAATCTTCTTACGCGAATTTTCTTACGCAATTTCGTTTGAATTCTCGTACTACACCTTATTATCGAAAACCCTTTTGTTCGACGGATTGTCGTTCCATCGATCGACATCTGTTCGAATAGCAACAATTGCGGTTCCAGTGCAGATGGCCGCGCTTCGAGTTCCTACGAACGTCGAACAATCACGATTGCGACACTTAACATTCTTCTTGCATCGCTCTTGCTATCCACGGCCTCCCTTTATGGATCGAATAATGATACCCTCGGTGGCTGGCACAATGTTCGAAGCGAGGAAGAAGGTGGAACCGCCACGTGTGGTCAAATATACCGCGCGTGAAAGATGTTTTTTCTGCGTGTCATTCCTCAAAACCTCTTTGTGATAGGTGTCTGAAGGTAGCTTAGGAAAGTTTGCTCGACTTTGCTCCACATCGATAGATCGAAACAGGATAATGGAATTATTTAATATTTCGCGAATGGGAAGAGACTTCGATCGAGATTTTGATGAAAGCAGTTCATTCATGGTTGGTACTCCGTACAATTTGGCACTGACAATGTACAATAAGGGCTTTCAGTAGTTCCAACGAGGATATGTTACAAATTTATATCTTTTAATTTTTTTTTTAAATATTCTTGGAAAGTAAATTTTTTACTTTCTTTCCAACATTTTAAAATTTCGAAAATTCTGGAAAAATTTGGAGTCACCTGTTAACACATTTCACTTCGTTATTTAGCAAATTTTTTTTGTTCAATAACAATCGAAACAAATCGTGCTCGAAACTAAAATTTTCATTCCAAAGAGAGATTCTACTTACGATGGTAAGTAGAATCTAAATCTAAATCTCGTTTCTACGAAATACTCGGAGTACTCTTACGCGTAGAACATAATACGAATTCCCTTCCGGAGTCGTGCATGAGATAAAAATTTCGCTTCGAAAAGTTTCGTGTTACCTGCTCAACCGCAACACTTAATCATCTCGTCT